CTCGTACGCCTGGAACTGGAAGACCAAGCAGACGTGCTACTGGTGTGGCAAAGCCTTGGCGCCGTGGACAGATGCTACGCCTCCGATTCAAGGAGCTTGGGCGGCCCGTGTCTCAGCCGCAGCCCAGGCCGAGTCCAAGTGCACCCAGCAGCCCAGCCCCGAGGGAGATTGGGAACCGTGGTCATCATGGCCCAAGTCCCGCCGCCGCCGCGGCAAGGGCAATGCCAAGGACCAAGAGGACGACTGGTGGCTCAGCAAGAACGACACCCCCAAGGCTCGCTCCGCCGAGGACATCCTGGCGGAGCTTCAGGCGATCGCCCCCCACATCGACAAGGCAGCCATCGACGGCATCAAGTCGCAGATACCGCCGCCCCAGCCTCAGAAGCCGGCCGACCTCAACGACATCTACAGCCGCGCCCAGGCTTCGGAGCGCCGCTGCAAGAACAACCTGGAGAGGCTGCTCGAGAGCGAGCAAAAGGCGCTCAGCTGGTACACAGAGCGCAAGCAGGCGTCGGAGGAGGCCGCCTACAAGCTGGCAGAAGCCCAGGCCGAGGCCCAAGCGGCCCTCGACGCTCTCCAAGCCGCTCGCAAGGGCGGCACAGCTACTCCTACGCCGTCGCAGCAGAACCCGACGTTCAACCTCACCAGCCTCCTCGAGGACGGCGACATCTCTATCGAAGCGGGTGCGGCGTTCGATCTCCAAGGCCTCGACATCGACGACAGCGACCGCCAGGCATGGGAATCCCTCCAACAGCGCTTCGCCACGGAGCTCAAGGCCAAGGTCACGGAGCTCTTCGGCAACACCGCCAGCCGCATCAGCCAGCTCCGCGCAGAGGCCAGCACCATGCGCACGCGCTTCGCTACCAAGCGTCAGCGCGCTGACGAGCATGGACACGCCAGAGAGGGAGGTGGACCACCGCCCGCCGCCGCGGATGCAGCAGGCGAACCCCCAGCGACAGCCGCAGCAGATGCTGAGGGCACTGCGCCCTCTTCGCCAGCGGCGCCAAGCGATGAGCCCCCCGCACCTGCTGCTGGCGCTGCTTCTGACGGCGGCCATGCCACACAGCCTGTGCCAGCACTCAACAAGGACCCCGACCTCGAAGACAAGGCACAGAAGATGCTCAGCCAGATGCGCAAGCCCACTGCGACCGCCGCGGCTGGAGCGCAGCAGCCTCTTTAGCCGCCTACAACCCGACCCTGGACGGAAAGGTGAGACGGGACGCCTACCGTCAGAGACCAAGTGCTACGACAACCCACCCATCATCAACACAATGGACGCAGTCCTCGACCCGTTCGACGAGCTGGCCGGGTTGGACGCCCACATCGATTGCGAATTCACAGATCAGTACGATACCGCCCCGCCCGAGACGCTGTCCTCGGTAGGGGGCGATGAGGCGGCACAGTCCGTCGACCCCGTGGCAAGAGACCCAGGGCAGCCGCAGCGTCCAGCGCGCGCCGACCCTGATGCCGCTCCGCCCGAGACGCTGTCCTCGGTAGGGAGCGATGGGACGGCTCAAGCTGTCGACGGGCAGATGGCTCACGAACCAGGGGGGCCTCCTCCAAAGGCAAACCCTGATGCCGCCCCGCCCAAGACGCAGTCCTTGGTAGGGGGCGATGAGATGGCGAAGGCTGTCGACACGACCGCAGGGAAATGGTCATGGAAGCCCAGCAGCCCCAGAGCCGACCCCAGACCCGCCCACCAAGACGAATGCCATACGAAGCCCACACTGTCAGACCATTCCCTGTTCTTCTCCAACATTACTCAGTGGGGACCACAGTCGGAGAGATGGCTGGCAGGGCCAGGCAAACAATATCAGATGGTAGCATTGGTTGAAACACACATCTCGTCTGGGAAAGCGCCGCTCATCTACGACAAGCTAGCAGCGGACGGTTGGAGGATTTCTTCGACTACGGCCACGCCTACCAACAGATCAGACGGCGGCAACACGGGTGGCGAGATCATCCTTTCCAGGTACCATGTCCAGGCCACCACGTTCAACCACCTCCGCGACCTCGCCATCTCCCAGCGCAGGCCCGACCCCTTCCTCGGCTTCACGCCCATGGTATGGCACAGACGCTCTGGTAACCTAGTTGTTATTGCAGCGTATCTGGAACCCCACAGGCAGATTGAGGGTGCAGTGCACGATAAGCTACTTTCGCTGGGATCCTTCGTTACTATGCTCACGGACCCTTGGATCATCCTGGCCGATTGGAATATGACACCCGGGCAGCTCGCAGCGACAGAGTGGCTCGCCAAATGGAATGCGCCCATCGTGCGAGCACCTGGATCCGCCACGTGCGACAAGGGCCAGGGACTCACGCTTGATTTCGCATTGGTCAAGACTGGCATCGAGCACACGATCTCCATTCGCCAGTGCCCCACCGTACCCTGGGCCACCCATGTTGGCCTCGAAGTTCGAGCAGGCAGTGCTGACCCCTGGTGGTATCAGACGATCCATACTCCCCAGGCATTCCCCATAGTGGACAGACCCAGGATCCCGCCAGACCCCAACAGCAAGACCGCCATCAAGAAACGTATAACAGCTGAAGCTCGAGCAGCACGTCTACGCGATTTACCCCCTGAACTCCAACAAGCAGCAGTACAGCTCCAGCCACAAGACGAGCCCGCAGCACAGGAACCTATCCCTTATGCTATCCCGATGGACTTGTGGGAAGAACAATGGCAGGAAGCAGTACCCACACGTTGTAAGCAGCCCCACGCGCACTTCGTGTACACACACTGGGAGCACGACGCCGACGACCTCAACCTCAAGTATGCCAAATGGGTCACGGCGCTCGAGAACACCATGATCAGCCACCACCAGATCGACCCGAAGCAAGCCGCAGCATACACAGGCAGAGCCCAAGGTTACCAGTTATCGTGGAAGAAGACAGCCGCCGCCCCAGGCCGCGTACACGTACACGACCCTCAGCCGGAATGGTGGGCAATCACGCTCACCCTCATCAAGCGCTACGCCGCGCTTCACGACAAGCCCAAGCACATAGCGCTCATGCAGCAGCGGGCCTCCATCATCCAGCAGCGCGCGGACCACTTCAGCACCCACATGCACGACCTCCAGTTCGAGAAAGATGAGGACACCATCTTCCGCTGGTTTGCACTCGTCTGGGCCCCGCACCTGGACAAGGATGACACCGACGACTTGGTCACCATTACCGCTACCTGGGCCTCCAGAGCCCTCTCGGCCGCCCTCGCCAAGTCCAAGAGGGCCTACGGGGCTCGGCTAGCCCAGCAATGGAAGCACCGCCCTGGAGTACTACACGCCCATGTCAAGCCAGCGCCCATACGTCACATCGAGGCCTACACGACCAACCTGACCATCGCCGACCCCACCGTTATCATGGACAACAAGAAGCGACAATGGCAACAAGTATGGCAAGCCACCGAGACTTCTGATGACATCCTACATGCCCTGTCAAAGGCCAAGGCAGCAGCCGCTCATCAACCGCTTGAGCCCATCACAGCCGAGATCGTACACCGTTTCCACAGCCGCATGCCACCCAGTAAAGCACACGGAGTTGACGCCCTAGGACCTCGCGACCTCCATCGACTACCAGAACCAGCAGTTGAAGCGTATGCAGATATTCTCAACTCAGTAGAGCAAGCAGGCATCTGGCCACTACAAATTTCAGGCACTATTGCAGCTCTCGCCGCCGAGAAGTCTGGAGGCGACCGAGTCCTCGGCATGCTACCTCATATGGCCAGACTCTGGTCTCGCATTAGACCGACTGCATCGACATCCTGGACACAAGGTCTGGACGACTTTTGGACTACAGCCATCAAAGGCTCCTCAGCTCTCCAAGCGGCCCTACATAGGGCCTTGTTAGACGAGACAGCCGCAGCACTTGGCATACAGTCGGCCACCTTGCTATTAGACATCCAGAAGTTCTACGACAATATTAAGCTCGCCAACCTCATCATGGTCGGCCTCAACTGCGGCTTTCCCCCCATCATTCTATTACTGGAAGTGCAGCTTTACCTGGCGCCCAGGTTCTTGCGCAGTCGACAATGGGTGAGTATGCCTATCTTCGCCTCCAAAGGCATCATTGCAGGCTCCCCTCACGGCACCACATTGGCACGACTCATTGTACTACCAATTCTTCGACAAGCCCAAGCTCAGGCAGAGCTTGCCCAGATGTGGACCTTCGTAGACGACACTGTTCTTCGAGTCGAAGGAGTCCTACGCGCCCTTCACAAGCATCTCCCCCGTGCCGCCAAGACGCTCTGCGACGGTTTAAAGGAGTTCGGGCTGCCTATCTCCGACAAGACCGTCCTCATCGGCTCCACCCCCAAGGTCCGCCACTCGCTAGCCAAGAAAATGCGACGGTACGACATCCCAGTTACTGCGACCGCCACGGCCGTCGACCTCGGAGTAGACGCAGCCGCGGCTACCCGACGAGTACAAGCTAAAGCCAGGAAGCGACAGAGCTCAGCCACAGCTAGATTTCGCAAGATACACCGACTTCGGAGCACTGCACAGCAGGCCCGAATCTCAGCTGGACTGTGGCGCACTGGCGCTCTCCCAGAAGGAGTATTCGGGCATCAGGTGCACGGCCTCGCTCGGCACGCTCTACTACGATGGCGGCGCCAGGCCGCCATTGCTGCCACGGGCGCTGCAGCGGGCCGATGCCTCACTTCCCTCCTCGGCGCCACCTTCGACGACATGGACCCAGGAGTTTCCCTTAGGATCGAGCTCATAGAGGCATGGCTTCAGCACTGGATACGTCACCCGAGCACGCACGCCAGGATCATCAGGGCCTGGCCAAGGATCAAGACCACCTTGCTCGCTGCAGGCCCCAAGCTGTGGTGCAAGGTCAAGGGGCCCACAGGCGCGGCCATCGCGACGCTGCTGGAGGCCAGTTGGGAACCGACCTCAGCTACCACCTGGCGGCGTACAAAGGACGGCTACATCGAGGAGTGGAACCTCCCCCCTGCCGATGACCCTGACCTCCTCGACGCCGACATTCACACAGTATTGCAGGACCTCAGCGAGGATTTACACAAGCTCCTCTGGACCCAGGCCGCTACGCATGCCCATGGTGACACGCTGGCTGGAGGCGCAGACATGGTCACTATCCGCATTGAACAAAGGAGGTTCCTCGCAAACGGCGACTTCAGCGACTGGGCCCTCAACAACACCATCATCAGCGGAGGACAGTGTACCAGAGACCGACTCCACAACGCGGGCTATCATATCGACAGGAACTGCGACCGATGCAGCGCTGGAGTTCCTGAAACCTTGGTTCACCGAATGTGGCAGTGCGAGGCGAATGTGGGACCTGAGTTTGAGGCCAGTGACAAGCTACTGCCGCGCGCCGTGGCGGGGGTCGATGCCGACCCCGCCCTGTGGCTCCGTGGCATTCCCTCTGTCGCTCTCACCACGCCCACGTTCGAGCCATTGATTGGGAGGGACGGGTGGGAGTTTGTTGGGGCGGTGCGGGAGGGATTGCCGTCTTGGGAAGGAGCTCGTAACGCAGAGGGCGAGTTGTTTCTTTTTGGAGACGGGCCTGGCGGAGCCTTTTCCGACGACGTCAGACGACGTCGCGTTGGTTCTGGCCTCGCGGCCCTCCGTTTGGACCCTCCCTCGGCCCCCTGGACCCTCCACGCGGGCCTCCTTGCCCCCCTCCCAGGCCCCCGCCAGACTGTCCCAAGAGGCGAAGTATATGCGTTTTGCCTGGCTCTTGAGACGTGCCAGCAGGATTTCACGTTTGTTACTGATCACCTAGCCTTGCAGCGGGGTTGGCAGAATGGCAGATGTCTCAGGCCTGGCGGCCTTGGAGGTAAGAATAAGAATGGGGATCTCTGGCTGAGGATTCGGCACCTCGTGCAGGATCGACCTGGCGGTGTCTCCTCGGTCACGGTGCTCTGGACCCCATCTCATGCCGATCCCCAGACTTTGCATGGTTTCCAACAATTTCTTGCTCTCGGCAACCAGCAAGCCGACGAGCTCGCGGGGAGCGCGGCCCACAAGTCGGCCACCCTTGCTCTCCCGCCTGTTCCCAGGACCGATGAATACGATGCGATCGCTGCCATCGTCCGACAGAGGGCACGGCTGATCCTTCGTTCCTTAGGTAACAATTCAGAGCCTCGAGGACTGTGGCCAGAGAGGCAACCCACCCAGGAGGCAGCCCCTCGTTCTATGTTGCAGACCGCGATTGCGGCGTCTCAGCACAAATTCGAGCGGTGTGCGGATAAATGGCGATGCTCTGTCTGCCCCATCATCGTCTATTCTTGCCACGTTATTCCAGCTGCCGCCAGCTGCCCCCTTCCCGAGTTTGCTGCGTGTGGCGAGGTGCTGTGGTCGCGGGGTCCCCGTGTGATCAGTGGCAAGGCTTTACACCCCTCCCACACGTTGGCCACTATCCCCAAGTGGCAAATGCTCTGTTGTGTGAAGTGCGGCCACACGGCTACGCACCAGGCTAAAAGCCTACAGTTTCCTTGCCCTCTCTCCCACCAAGTGGGAGAGCGCAGGGCCCTGGGACCCACTGGCAAAAGCCTCGAAAACCTCAGCAGGATCAGGCGGGGCCTTCATCCGTCCAGATCGGGTCCCAGCAAGTCTGTTCTTGAGGCCATGCACGTTTCGGCAGCCGCAACCGCGATCGGTTCCTACGCGGTGGGCGCTGCCTCC